ATGGTAAATGCCCTATGAGAAAGTGGTTTGGATTATTTTGGTTTGATATCCCTCAGGCAAATGGTTTTAAAGACATTCATGGTGAACAGTCTGCCAGTCTAACTGGCATTTCTAGTCCCCAGTGTCTTGTGCGGTTAGAGCTTTATGACATGATGCCCACGATGGCTGTCAGCTTCTCTCTCTGCTGCTACCAGCAGTATTAGGAACATCCCAGCCTGCTGTGAGGACGACTACTAGTTCTGGCAGCACAAGAGTGGAATGGTCACGATACACCTCACGACTGGGCCTCCCTGCGGTGTGATGGAACAGATGTCATAGCTCGCCCAGGACATCTTCCATCTGGGCGATGGAAGTTCTGAGCCTACTTGCCCTAATTTGTCACCATGATAAGGAGTCTCACTTGGTCAGTTGCCCTGTCTTGGAGTCCATATGCTGGCTTGGGGATCAGAGCTCATGGAAGTCAGATTATTATTTTTTTTTGGGTCCTGTTTGCAGTAGACTATTTTGAAAAGCCATTTCAGTCGAAGCACGTGTCATTTCAAGAGCTTCATGTAGTGTTGGAAAGCTGGGTCGTCACTGAAATATTTCTAAATGAAGATGAATGTGAAAAATGCATTTTGACTATATGAAACGAACAAAAGGGAAGGAATTAGTATTAATGTTCAAAAATTGGGCTGAGATGTCCCCAGGTATTGACCTTAATGCTGATTTATGCAGCAGGATTATAAGCGCCTGTAGGTAAGAATAATAACCACAAACCTCAGACTCTCCCTTTTCCTTCAGCTTGTTTTTAAGAAAACCCGACAGATGCAGGCAAGTCAGGACAGGGTGTTTTTAATTGGATGTGAAGTATACTTTGCTCACATAGTATGCTGGTTTTTTGGCAAGAAGCGTCTCTTGACTTGCTTATCTGCAGTGCTCTGGCCGGAAGTGAGCATGGAGCTGCGCAGAACGTAAATCTGGGGGTGTTCAGCTGCAGGAGGGAAATGTTGGTGTGATATTGGGACGCCTGCAACATTCACTCCTCGGCGAAAAGTTGTCGTCCTCTGTCACTCTTGCGTTTGGCGTGTTAAATACAAAATAGCTGAACATGCTTGTATCACGGAATATATATATTTTTCAGAGGTGGAGATTTCAGGTCCAGAGAGTAAAAATCCAGACCAAGATTTTGTTTCAACCAACCAGTTGAGTATAAATAGCCATACTCACGGAGTACTCAACTTGCTGGTTGAAACAAAATCTTGCTCTGGATTTGTGCTCTCTGGACCTGAAATCTCCATCTGATATTTTTATATGTAGCACTGACCCTAGACTAACCCACAAAAGGACTAGTAATGCAAAATATTCTGATCTGTTCATTATTAAATATTGTCTCTGTCACGCCCAGCTCCGTACGATCCTCGTGTGTGCCACGCCCACCTTGTTACCTCGTGTTAACTCCTGATTGTACTCACCTGTTGCCTGTTCCTTTTGCCTTGTCTTGAGTATTTAGTCCGTGTCTCAGTCAGTATTCCCCAGTTCTGTCATTGTATTGTCATGGTGTTTGCTGTCCGTTGCCAGTCTGCCCTAAATAAACCCCCTTTTACCCGTAAGTTCGGTTCCACTCGCCTGCTTCCCGGCTCGCCTGTTCCGGAACTCTGACAGTCGCACTCTATGAAACTAACACTTCTTGCTATCTTTGAAGTACCTCCCTGATAATTCAACACCCTGGTTTAGAACACCTAAAGAATAAATCCCAGAATATCATGAATGACCAGTTAAGGGGTCTCTGCTAAGGATACATTACTCTTGTCATCAAGGTTCACTGAAACTTCTGAGCACAAGTTCTCATTTGGTTGTAGCTGGAATTTTTAAAATTATTATTGATAGGACAAAATGCATGTGAATGCATGACTGTGGACAATACGTATGTTTTTGATAAACTGTATAGACCTTGTACACCGCAAGCTGCTTTATGTGAAGACACCAGTCACCTTGCCCTGCCTCTCTGCTCCCTCCTTTCTTCTGGCACATGGTATAAAACCTTATACATCCAAGAGCAGATTTTACTTGCATGTAAATACCCCTCAAAGGTTAATTGTGCACAAATCCTGCAGAAATGAACAATCGGACGCTGCTTTGCCCAGATTCTGCCTCTGATGTTCCTTTTGCACATGAGTGTGCTAAGTACTTTTCTACTGTGTGAGATCATTTTCTGTTTTTGCTGGTTTATTTATCATTGCTTGCTGTATTTAGTGTCTAGTAATTTAATTTAGCAGTTGGGTCTGTTGAAATGACGCGAGTAAGAATGTCCTGCGTAAGGTCAGTTTTCCATCTCTAATGAACAAGAAATGTATGTCACACTCCAATTTTTGATTGAATAGATTTCATACTGTCCAGTTTAGATGAGTGGCATACAGTACTCTTCAAAAGTCAGTAGAAGTCAATATTTGACTTTGATTTTGTATATTTGTTAACCAGCCTTGTTTCCATTCTCTGATAATATAATGATGCTGTTTTTACATTTGTTGATATTTAGTGGCGCGGTTATTTTCAGAGTACCTCTCTCCCACCCTCTCTGTGGTAAGGTAGAGTAATGATTGCTCAGGCTGGCATCTGATAGAGCATCTCTATCATCTCGTGGAGTTACCCTACACCTCCTACAATGTGCTCCTTCAGCTTAGTTTAGGACAGATGACGTGTTAGGTTTTCCGGCACAGAGCACTTATGTGCGTATATATACAATATAAAGTGTTGTGACATCTTTCCAAGGTCATACAATGTGGCATTTGGAGTTGGACTTCCTTACTGATTTGCATATTTAAGGGGGAGGTAAGTGAGCGTTTATGTGGGTTTCAAGAGTTCAGCTGATTCCATATATTACATTGCCTATAAATACAGAAACAAATGTTTGTAACTCTCTTGTGGAGATTGAGTAATGGCTGCATTGCCTGTTTAAGCATGTATGCAGTCTTGTATTATGCAATAACTGTATTTTGTAATTATGTAATCATGAGTTACTTCTATATCTAGATACATGTCCTATTGCAGCCTGCAATGTTGTGTTTAAATGACTGATGGGTTCACTAGTTTGGTGCGTAAAGCTAGATCAACATTTACTCAAGTTTCCTTCTGATTGTGTTAACTTTGTGAATTCTACAAACATTTAACACTAAATCTCGACTGACAATTGTGGTGTGGCTTTATTGTTTAAGCAGCATAAATATTTCAATGACACCGGTGTAATCACAGATAGAGGTCATGCGTGTCTTCAAACAGCTGTGTTTCTCTAAAATTCACAAAGTGCTTTTCCGAATCGAGGCTGATCAGTTTTCCTTTCTGCCCCCTCTGCTTTTAAAGCAGCCGCACGATCGCATTTAGGGGTCTGGCACTTCCCATAAAAATAGAAAGCGTCCCTGTCGCTTACAGAAGCGCGTCATCTGCGTTGCCCTTCAGGTGACTTTGGCTCTCCATCCTCTTTAAGTCCCTGCTGCACTCCCAGCATGCATGTGTAGCTTAATGTGCATTCATGATGCCAATAAACTAAAATACCACAGCAGTCCTTGGCAGTGGTGAAATGTTGCAGGATATTTTACTTTTGTTTTCAAGTTTTAGTCGTGTTCGAAAATTGTCATAGCTTTAAAAATGTTATGAAATTGCCTTATTAGGCACTGTATATCTGAAAGAAAATCATTTAGTTATTTGATAGTTTTTCTTCCCCCTCTGCCTTAAGCAATAGACTCTCTTGATACTTTGTGAAGATTAATTCATCCAATGGAGGCATCGATTTTTTTCTCCTGCCTCCGACTTCACTGCCTGAGTCATCCCCAAGATGACTGAGGTGTTCGTTGTGCTAAATTAATGAAAACATCATTCCTGACAAAGACAAACGTAGAATTCTAGAATCCAGAATTCAGATTAATTACTTGCAAGGAATAAAAAATAAAAAAACTGATCTGCCCTCAGCCACCATTAGCTACCTGCTTCTATACACCCACAGTTTAATCTCTCTTCAATGCCGAGAGGAGATGAGCATGTATGTCCTGTACTCATCCTGGATTAATCTGCAGGCTGGGGGAACTTCAGGAATCAAGTGTTTTTCTGTTACCGAGCAGCGCCAGCAAATGGGACCTCAGGGGTAGATCTTCTTGTCATCCTGGGTCGATGCAGCGCATTTCCTACAACGTCTATCTCTCTTTATAACATAAATCTGCTTTTGTGTATGAGCTTCAGGCGGTAGGCCGTCTGAATTGAAGCAATTAGCTTTATGGTAATACGCCGTAATGTGCTTTGTCACCCCGTGTAATTAATTCTGCAAGGAACAAATTACATAATAAGCATAGGAGATTGGGAATTAATGAATGTTAGTGGTTCTTGGTAACTGGCATCCATTCCAGGGTAACCCCTGCCTCCTGTCCCATGTGTCCTGGGAACAGGCTCCACGCGCTCTTATGTAAGATGGGGGTGGGCCAGACGGGTCTTGGTGTATAGATCATACAGAGGAAACAATTACTGTTTATGTCTTACTGCCATTTGTTGTTTTTTTTTGTTTTTTTTTGAAAATGAACTGTAAAGGGTTGCGGGCAGCTTGCTTATGAAAAGCACTGAAAACTGGGACTGACTGATTTTTATTTGATCTATGTCTTTTTTTTTTTTTTTTTTTATGAAAAGCACTGAAAACTGGGACTGACTGATTTTTATTTGATCTATGTCTTTTTTTTTTTTTTTTTTTCCTCCCTGAGACACAGTCTCTGTTTTTATGGCATTTCATGTCTGCAGTTTCAGAAAGTATGTTCCTAATTAGCATGAGACTCTGCAAAAATGGCGGCATTCATATCTCTCTGTCCGTCTGTCTGTAGTGTATGCGCGTGTACAGTATATGTGGATGAATAAGTATATGTGTATATATACTGTAAGTATATATGTGTCCATATATGTAAAAATAATATTTAAACCTTAGTTTGTGATTCAAAGAGTCATGCATTTGTTTAGTCTCTGCTTCCTGTGCTCTTGTTACCTAGGCAACAAGGAATCCGCTTCCCTGCAGACCCTCACCAAAGCCCCGCCTTGTCTGCCGTTGCGCTGATATTGACAGGCTGCTCTGGGGCTCTCTGAAGGCAGGTCCTTAAAGAAGCACCATCCAAACGCTCATTTTTCCTTTATTCCTTCCTTTTCGTGAAACAACATAATTGGTGTTATCTTTTTGTCCAGTTCAAGGCTGGAATTAGATGATTTCCTTGTGCTTTTTGTGTGTTTCATCTACTTTTTCAAAGACGTGATTGGGGTCCGTTAGTGTCTCTCGGCCGGCCTTCAGCGGGTTCCTGCTGTGGACTGGCTCTCTGTCCCGGGCCTCGTGCTCACTTCCCTGGGATGGGCGTCCGCCTCGCTTTGACCTTGCTTGGGATAAGAAATTCAAAGTAATTCCAAGTGTTCACAGTGCTCATTATTTTAATGTTAATATTGCCATTGTAAGATGTTGAAAACTGCCATTTGCTCCTTTCCTATGCGTAATGTCATACAAATAAAGCTAATGTATGCATCTCCTTTGCCCCTGGTGGCTTGTTGTGAGGTCAGCGGATATTTGCATCCAAGCACGGACGGGATAGGGATCTCTCATTTCCTTAGTTTGGGACTTGACTGATTTTTGTGAAGGTTGTCTTTTGTGCCCGTTCCTTCACCCCATCAAATTATTGACTGGAACAGCATCAAACACTCCATGCTGTGAAAGCTCATGTTATATAAATGCATTTTGCAGGTAATGCTGTCTATTATGCCGATTCTCTGGTCTGCCTGTTCAAACTACTTAGGTATCGCTGCTATCTGTCTTATCCACTGTTTATTTGAAACTGACATCTTACCCTGGTTTGATGTTGACACACCTGAAATCAAACGATGCTTTATTTTCCATTTACACAAATATGACTACAGGTACCCTGGAATGTTTCTTTTCACGTCTCATCTTGCTCTCCTCTGAGACATGGATACATACACAAGGAGAGTGAAGCTCGGGGTCCGACCACAGGGTCAGGACATTTATCTGTCACCCCTGCGGCATTTCAGGGGGTTAAGAGATGTGTCTACTGCTAAATCCCAATTAAAAATGGAATACAACCACTCCTCCATTCCGTTCCAACGAAAGGTTCGCTGAGTGAAAATCACACTCATGGATGTTTTACCTGCACAAAAATATTCTGGAATGATTGATTCAGGGAGATCACGAATCAGATTGTAGAGAAGGTGGAACCAACCAATCATTTGTCTTGGTCCTGCTTCCTCTACAATATGATTGGTTATCTCTTTGAACCAATAACTGTTCCTTCTGCCCTAGGAACATTTTTATGTAAGAAACTCCGCGAGCGTAAATCATGGCAGCCTAAGCGTGACTGCGATTGTGCTTTATGAGTACTTCAACCTTCTGTGCTCAGTTTCTTTTATCCTTCATAAATGGTCATTTTTAACAACATTTTGTACATTCTGTTTCAAAGATCTCTCTCACTCGGGTGTGTTGTCAGGTGATGTGTATGAAATTTGCTCATAAATGCACACATCGGTCTGAAAATGGGTTAATTTCCGTCATATTTGCGATTGGTCGATAATTGAGGTTGTCACTAAAAGACGAGCGGTTGTATAAAGTCTTTATTCTTGTGCATTCTGATTTGTATCCGTTTCGTAGACCAGACATCTCTCATAGCTACTGTGAAGCCCACGCTTGTGCCTCTCAAACGTCTAAACCTTCACACTTTCATTTCCCACGCTTCCCGCCTTGAGTTGAAATGTCACATCTATGACTCTCTGCTTCTCTCCGTCGCTCCAAGTTGCTCTGACTTGCAGCCAAATCAATTAGCGTGGCATCTTGGCCACTGGAGTTCAAGCTCAGATATGCACAGACTTTCATGAGTGACTGCGGCCCTCAAATCCCAGGCGGTGCATCACCAAGCCCTTTCATGTAAAAGCCTTATTCCTGAATATACTTCATAGCGTGCGGCACAGTGTGACTCTTGTCTTCAGAGAAAGCGAATAGCCTATTTGCCATGCATTGCAGTCTGTAAATAATGTGTTGTTCTAAGATGTCCGTGTGGAATACAGCCATCCGTTGCTGTAATTTTGTCTCACGTCTTCGGTCTGTGACTGATGTTGCTTGACGGAGTGGCCGAGGGTATGGCTGACAAAGTTCACAATTATAAGAAACCTTGTATAAAGAGAGTGCAAAAATGGCAGTGTTCATCTCCATCCCTGAGAATGTCAGTCCATCGATTCAGTGGAGAAGTAAGATTACTTCAGTATTACTTGAGGATGAAATGCGGCATTTTTTCTTTTCCACCATTGCATGCATTAGCCGTAATGCAGTGCGTATCAATGTGATGCTTCAACAGAAGAGCTCAGATTATATTCTGTGTGCTTGTATGGCATACACCAGGGGTGGATATGTAGTGTCATCATACTGTGTGTGTGTGTTGGTTTTTGTGGTTTACAAGGACTTTTGACCTGAATACTCACCAGCATTACAGGGACATTTGGGTTTATGAGGACAGGGACCATGTCCTTATAATTCCGGCAATGTAGAAGCCATTTTCTAAGTCCCAGAAACTCCCTCTCAAATTTTGGCNGGGGGGGGGGGTCAGATATTCATTACATTGTGGGGACATTTAACCTGATATTTTAATATTGTGGTGACCCTTTTTACCAGGTTCACAAGGGGAAATTCAGGTTTATAAAAACCTGTAACTGCAATCAAAAACCTAAAAATGCCAAAAGTCTTGTATTTTGTTTGGTTGCTTAAGGTTAGGGCTGGGTAGGGGTTAAGGTCATCATTGTTGGGGTTAGTGTTTTACCCATAGAAATAATGAATGGATGGTCCCCACAAAGACATCCTCATAAGAAAGGCTCATGGGTTAAATGAGCACCAGTAAAAACATGTTAAATATGGATTATGTGTCTGGTCTTGTACAAACAGTATCACAATATTGCAGTACAACTGCCGGATAAGGGACAGAATTGTGGTCCAACAAAGAGAATTCTTCACTGTAGATTTTGATAGGGTACCTCTCGTACTGACAACTATTAAGAAAACGACTGAAATGAATTGACCACTTTCAGCTGGTGTATGGTGTGTGCCTTCCCCGTGTTTGTAGGGTATTAGGTATGCATCCGTAAGTGTGTTTGTCTATATGCTGCTACCTGCACATGCTTACTTAGATATTAGCTCCCTGTTTCCCATCCTTTCTGTATGTAAGACTTTATTTTAAAAAATAAATAAACTAGAACAGCCACGATACAGTGCATTTTTACATAATTAACTTGACCTTTCCTCACCGCATCAGTACCAATTTACTTTTCTCCATTTTTCTCGCTCACTTTGAACTATTTAAACTCCCACATACTGACCATTTCACCCAGTTGTGTCCAGAAACATTTCTTAAGTCTGTCTGTCTATCTGTCAAGCAAGTGTCTTAGACATTAAATGATTTTTTCTGATACAATCATTAAAATTTAGTCAAACGTCTGTCGGGAGTGAAGGTTCCACTCTGGTTACGTGTCTTTCCGGTGTTTTGGATTTGGTGCTAAGCGGCGAGGAAATGGCTAACCTTGTCAGAAACAGCCTCCCCATTGAGTCCCTTTCACAGGTCACAGGAGACTTTTCTTTCTTACATCGTCTGATTTATCATGGCCAGTTGTCAGCTGTGAAAGTCGGGGGGGGGGGAATATAATAAAAATCCCCAAGCCCATTAGCAGATGAATGAAACCTAGAGGAAAGACCTAGAGGCACCGCGATAAAAATTTATAGTAGTAATAACAGTTCTGGCATGTGTCTGAAGGACGTGTTTTTCCCTTTTCCAGCATATCTGCAGTACGCCTTCAGCAAGAGGCGGCAAGACGGCCTCCTGATGCAGCAGAGGGTATTGTTTGGGTTCTACCCTGTTTGCTCTTTAGGTGTGCTGTGTTTGGGCTCTGCACAGGCAGGTCTTGAGGTGCGGCAGAGGCTGCTGTGTTTGGGCTCTGCACAGGCAGGTCTTGAGGTGCGGCAGAGGCTGCTGTGTTTGGGTTCTGCACAGGCAGGTCTTGAGGTGCGGCAGAGGCTGCTGTGTTTGGGCTCTGCACAGG